ACGTAACGAAGTTTTGAGGTCTTTACAGTGCACAATTTGTGGACCTTTAATTAAGGTTTTTGATAGTTTCAAACGTTAATTCTCATATTAAACTGTGGTTATTCAATTCGTGGTACTTTCACGGGTAATTTGAGACCAATTCGAACTCAAGACTCCACTCATGTCAATAATTATCAACAATTTTGTTGACGCCGCGCGGAGCCGGTAATGGATGCTCATAGGATCGGCCACGTAGTTGCTCGACAGCACTCGAGTACAGGTTAGGTTGCGGCGCGAGCGATGCACGCAAAACCCTATGAGCGACATTGGAATGGTGCCGAGCGGTATTACCCGATGGCGGGTAGTACCGCTCTCTCTTTTATTTTCAATCAATTTTGTGGATTCTAAGGAGAATTAGGCGTCTACACTTCGAGAATAACGAGTTCAATAGTTAAAGAAGTCTCACAAATGCGTTTTCTTGTACTCAAGTTGAAATATAAAATATAAAACTGGCATTTCCTCTTAGGTGGGCGGTACAGGCACACCCTCCCCTATACGAGAGAAACATTTTTTTTTAATAGTGGACTTTTTTCAATTTGAATTCATTGAATGAAAAAATGCTGAAAAAGTTTGAATTTTCTCTTCACAGATTCAGTAGCTTGAACTTGATGAGGTATCATCCTCCGGTGTTTCTTACTATTAGAAGGAGAGGAAGGGTTGGGGCTGATTGAAATTCACGAGGAATGTACCCATACCACCATATTACTCATACATAAATGGTGTAACCATGTTAAATTTCCGCATAACCATGCAGTTGACTTCTGAACTGCAATAGCACGGGAGGAAACCTTCGTGGATGACTTTAATGACTTTTCAAAGTGTTCCCATAGTTAAAATTAAACTCAGTTAACTCATCAATGCTTATCGGTCCTCCGTTACTATCGATCGGCGATTGTTGATTTAACTTTCGCAATGAGAAAGTCAATGACATTCATTTAGGAGATTGAAGACGATACAATCATTAATTTTCCGTAATTATACTTATTTATTTTCCAGAAAGAAGAAAATTATTTTTCTTGAAGTATTACCCGGATTATGTCATGTCGAAAAATATATTTTTTTTATTCATGTTTCTTTCCTATTGCCGTTACGGTTTTATACACTGAGAGAAATATCGTCATAATATCACAAAACCAATTTTTTGCGCCAAATATCTCATCTCTTGAGGATAAATTTCTGGGGATAAGAATTCCGGATAATGTGTCAAACAATGTCAGATTTCGGTGAAGTCTTCATGACTTGAACATGAACATTTCATGATAAAGTTAGAATTTCTTGCCACACGAAATCGGTTTTTTCGTGTCAGAAGATGAGAAAATGACTAAAAATATTGAAAGCTTCGATTCAGTGAATAATGAATCAGAGAATTTCATATTGAATGGATAGAGAGTTTGTGCAGAAGAAAACCTTTAGATATTACAAAAAATTTAACCGTCGCTTACGCTCAATCGCTATGAGTTCGAAGTGAAACAATCTTTCTTTTCCTTCTGTCAAAATATTCTTGTCTTTTAAGGAATATAATCTCATTTCGAAAACAGACATGATCTTTTCATTCAGTAACTTCCTCCAGCCCGAAGAGCACCGATATCTTGTCTGANTACGAGAGAAACATTTTTTTTTAATAGTGGACTTTTTTCAATTTGAATTCATTGAATGAAAAAATGCTGAAAAAGTTTGAATTTTCTCTTCACAGATTCAGTAGCTTGAACTTGATGAGGTATCATCCTCCGGTGTTTCTTACTATTAGAAGGAGAGGAAGGGTTGGGGCTGATTGAAATTCACGAGGAATGTACCCATACCACCATATTACTCATACATAAATGGTGTAACCATGTTAAATTTCCGCATAACCATGCAGTTGACTTCTGAACTGCAATAGCACGGGAGGAAACCTTCGTGGATGACTTTAATGACTTTTCAAAGTGTTCCCATAGTTAAAATTAAACTCAGTTAACTCATCAATGCTTATCGGTCCTCCGTTACTATCGATCGGCGATTGTTGATTTAACTTTCGCAATGAGAAAGTCAATGACATTCATTTAGGAGATTGAAGACGATACAATCATTAATTTTCCGTAATTATACTTATTTATTTTCCAGAAAGAAGAAAATTATTTTTCTTGAAGTATTACCCGGATTATGTCATGTCGAAAAATATATTTTTTTTATTCATGTTTCTTTCCTATTGCCGTTACGGTTTTATACACTGAGAGAAATATCGTCATAATATCACAAAACCAATTTTTTGCGCCAAATATCTCATCTCTTGAGGATAAATTTCTGGGGATAAGAATTCCGGATAATGTGTCAAACAATGTCAGATTTCGGTGAAGTCTTCATGACTTGAACATGAACATTTCATGATAAAGTTAGAATTTCTTGCCACACGAAATCGGTTTTTTCGTGTCAGAAGATGAGAAAATGACTAAAAATATTGAAAGCTTCGATTCAGTGAATAATGAATCAGAGAATTTCATATTGAATGGATAGAGAGTTTGTGCAGAAGAAAACCTTTAGATATTACAAAAAATTTAACCGTCGCTTACGCTCAATCGCTATGAGTTCGAAGTGAAACAATCTTTCTTTTCCTTCTGTCAAAATATTCTTGTCTTTTAAGGAATATAATCTCATTTCGAAAACAGACATGATCTTTTCATTCAGTAACTTCCTCCAGCCCGAAGAGCACCGATATCTTGTCTGAAATCTACCATAAATTGATCAAATATGTATGTGATGTGTTTCGCTTAAGAAATGATTTTTGCGATATTATGTCGTTTTTTCTCTTCGTGTATCTACGAGTGAAAGAAGGTCAGCTAATTGAAAGTAGCTACAGATCGTTTCATTGTCCGCAATGAAATGATCAACTTTACCGAAGGATCCACATTTATAAGTTCATTACAAATATTATTTAATGAATTCTTGAAAACTTTCGTAATCGGAAACTTGGAATATTTTATTATTAAAAATTGCTAAAAATTCATGTAAAATTATGTATCCTGATTTTATTGAGAAGTCTGATGAATGAATTAATAATTATGATGAAATTGTAATTTTTTAGATTGAAAACCTGTACACTTCAAAACATTTAACCGATTATCCTTTCGAATCGGATAAACAAATGAAATAAATCAAAATAATTTTTTGATTGCACATAAAATTTTCTATTTATCATAGGCCTGAAAATGACTCTACAGCGTCATTCTAATAATAATAACTAAAAGAGATAAAATATTATCCTTCAGATTATTCTGTTATTGATAATTCTAAAATTTTGTTTCGGAAATATTAATTAATATTAATTTAATCCTAAAAGTTGTCCTCCGATGCTGAAAATATCTCCGAACATAACAATTGTGACGCATATGGCTTTATACGCGCAGTTAAACATCATTTTATACTGTTTTATTAAGGAAAAAAAAGACTGAGGGCGAGTGTCTTTGACAATGCAAGGGTTATCGCTGTGCAACAGGAGTCCGCACGCATGCAAAATTTTACAAAAAATTGAAATATAGAGGGGAAGCGATAACTATAAACTATAGGGGATGCCTGTATCGCTCAGCAGATGCCAATACCGCCCACCCGTTTTTCTCCACAACCACTTACTTTTTCGAAAAAATTTCTCACTCAATCTGAAGGCTCTACTATCAATATGTAATTCTCGCAAAGAATCCTTTTTTTCACCTCTTTAAATGACGAAGGAATAACAATATAATTCTTGCATTCAACCCATGATTTCGGCTGAAAATTACAACCGCTCAACAATACTATATTCTTGACCAATTCTGCTAGATATTTTGACAACATAGGCTCTCAATTCTTGTTGAAATTTCGATAAATTATCAAACAACGAAGACGAGAGTTGAGTGAGCGGTATTGACTGCATGCGAACAGTACCGCTTACTAAGCTCCCGTCTTCGCTTTTTAGTAAATTATCGAAATTTCACCAAGAAGTGAGGGTCTATGATGTCAAAATATCTAGCTGAATAGCCAAAGACTCCTATGCAACTGGAATTTTGATCCGAAATCATGAGTTGGGTTGAGAGAATTGTCATTATTCCGGAGCGGTACAGGCACTATCTCCCCTATTGGTCGTCCCTTGAAATCTTACTTCCGTCGAAACTGACCCAATACTGTTAGTGTACTATATGCAAATCTTATTCCTTCAATCATATTGATAGATACTGTTTGAATAAGTCCACGGTGATTTCGAGAAAGCAATCCCGAGAAAATTCCATCCCAATCCCTGTATTAGAGCGAACACTCAAGAGCATTGTTCAACAACTCGAAGGGCGACTTGATAAAGGGCGGACAAAACCTCCTACGTCACAATATCATGTTGTTACGTATTTGTTCTTTTCCTCTCTCTTTCAACTGCGTTCATGTACGATCGTCTCTTTCTTACTCGTTATTGTTTTATCTTCGTTCCTAGTACGCGGACGTCTCATTCCTTTTCATATTTCTTTTTATTTCATTCTCCCGAAATCACCTCAATGAAGCTATTCTTAATTAAAGAGACTCTTAGTTTATCATATACTTCTAGGCAACTATTATTGATCATCTACGAACCCGCTTCACGCTGACACTGTAGCACCTGTCCCTTATCGACAAGTGTCCATTCCCCACGCATGACAAACAAAATCAATCACCTAAGACCCAATAAGCTGACAACTCCACTTGTCACTCGACCCTTGACCCAGTTCCCGGTTATTTAATAAATGTTCGATTCATCATAATCAACATAAATGTTCAGACAATATCATCATAAAAACATGCGACTACTCCAATCCCACCTATCCGTCAAAAATAATGGCCAATAGCAGGTCCTCAATTCTTCCAAAAACATCAGCTGTTCATCAAATGTTTTTAAATGTTGTTGAATTCGTGAACAGACACGTACAATGACACGTACAACTCTACGTACAATGAGTGCAATAAGAATGTTAATTGATGCATATACTCACTTTTAGTTTGCGCCTTGCATTGAATTTCTTCAAGCAGTCGACAGTCTCTTGCCTGTGCACCACAGACGCCACACGTTCACGTTGCTGCAATAATAAAACGAGAGAGAAATGATTTAATACAGTTGACAGTTGAAATTGACTCAGCGTCATAAACGGCAGTAACAATTGAGGAAGATACTTACGCAGATCCATGGGTGCCTGAGCGCTTCACTGGCGGTTATACGCCTGCTTGGGTTCACTGTTAACATCTGATTGATGAGGTTTCTAGCTTCTGGCGTAACAGTGTCCCATTCCGGGCTTGGATACTGCAAAATGGTAAATTGGAACATCAGATTGTTCATTTGATAGGGGACATCGTTCTCGACACGATTCGCATGCCAAACCTTATCGCTTGCTTCAATCAGTCTACAATTATTGTTTTGCTCTTATTGTGCTATAATTATGATTGTTGCTCAAAAGAGCCAGATATAGGAGGGCCAAAGGACCTTTGGAATGATTATTGTGATTTCGTTTGAATGGAAATTATAGAGATTGTTGCGTAGGACGAGTTATCCGAGCGGACAAATTTGGAGGCAGCTAAGCTGCTTTTGAAGAAACCAGTCAGCCTTAGTAAGGCATGTCCTTTCAAAGGTTTGTAAGTCCTCTCAAGGACCTTTTAACTTTTTTATGTTCTTTTAAGTTGCACCTGATTTGGGAAAATTTTAAAGGGTAATCTGACACGCCTGTTAGGGAAACCAAATGCCCTTTTCAATGTGTACTTCGTTTAAGACAAAGTCTACAAGTGGACGTTTCTTATGAGGACGACTTAAGCTCCTTTTTAGCCAACCTATTTCGAGTCATACATCATCAAGACTGAGATATGTATAGCAAAGGTCAGATTAGGGCCTCAACTGACTTGCCCAACTCGATCAAAATCAAACTGAGAAATGGTAGAAATGCACCGAATTAACTCAGGTCCTCTTCAGGGATCAAGAGGACTTTTATTTTCAAGCCAATTCAAGGTCACATTGTTAAACATCTACGTGCAATTTTTCGTTGATTTCCAAAGAATTTTAGATGAGTTTAGATGAGAGGATTATCATCTGACCAGAGAGATGTTCAAATCTTTCCCACTTCATATTTCCCCATACACATCATATCAGATGAACAGTATTTTTTTTGTTTTCCAAAGGGTCAACAGGATTCAAAATATCTGGGTCCTGCTGAAGCATCTAGTCAGTCAGTGTTACCGCTTTCTAGGCTTTCACAATGATTTCATGAACCAGACAAAATTTTCTACGCGAATCGTTAGCCGTCGGATTAATATTTGAAGTCAGTAAACTTACGTCATATGCTCCAGCTTTGATTTGACTGTATAACCGATGTTGATCCTCGTCCCAGAACGGTGGATAACCGACGAGAAGAATGTAGAGGATAACACCACACGCCCAGATGTCAACTGGCTTTCCGTACGGCTCCTTTTTGAGTACCTCGGGGCTTAGGTAGCCGGGCGTACCGGCAAAACCTGAGGACAAAAAAGGTATTCTTGATATTCAGGAATAGATTGAAGTGACAGTAGGGAAATGAAGCCTGAGGAAATCAATGTTTCGTTTTGGGAGTCTTCTGAACGAAATAAATGAATATATAATGTTTTTTGGATGGAGAAAGTCAATCTCAGAAGTGATGCGGTGAAACGAGGTAGAAGTTGGCTTGTTTTCAAGATGAGTTTCTGATGGCTTCTCCCTTTAGAGGATTCTTAAAAACAGTAGTTCTTCCAAACATGAGTTATATTTTCGACATGGGCAGAATTTTTCTTTGGATTCACGTTTCCAACTTCGGAAATTGAATTCTTTTCTTGACTTCTTTCACATTCATGATACCGTTGCCTTTTACCCCTCATCAATGGATTCTTTTTTTATTTCGTTCGGAAGGAACTGCCTTGAAGGTAACACTTCTCTATCTCCATGAAAGGCTGAGAATTTGATATCGGATTACTCACCATACCATGCCTGTGCGTCTCCCTGCAATTCAATAGCTAATCCAAAATCCGCCAGTTTCACAGCCGCACCCTTTGCTTTACTAGCGAGTAGAAGATTCTCAGGCTGACGTATTGCATTGCACATGGAAGGAAAGAGAAGACATGAGTTATCATCATGAGATTTGGCAATTTTTTACTCCCAGCATTCGAGATTGTCAAGTAACAAATGACGCTGGGGAAAAACTCACTTTGAGATCTCTGTGCACAATTCCATTGTGATGGCAGTGATGGACGCTTTCCAGAATTTGTTGTATACAGTGAGAGGCGTCTGCCTCACTGTAGAACTCTCGGGCGACAATATCCTCGAAGAGCTCGCCGCCAGTGACTCTGTAAATTTATGAAGATATTTTGTCATCAGCTGAATCACAAAGTTTCATAAATAATTAACGATATTCAGGGAATTTTTTTTCTTCTCTTTGATGAGGAAAAGAGGAATATTTCCTAAGTCTTTCTTTATGGAGAAATTATTGCAATTCTTTTTTCAAACTTGAAAAAGCTTAATATGTGAGAAATTCCATATATTGATGAGTCTGTTTGTTCAATCAAAATTATTAAGAAAATTCGCAGAGAGGGGACGACGATCTAACTTCTCAAGACGTGAATTGAACTCAATATGGCGTTGATGAAGTAGAGTTGTTACGTCACTCAAGGTAACTTCATCTGAGTGTTTAGAAATTATCATTTTCAATCATTTTTTTTTGTTAAAAGAAATTGCAAAGTTTTACTTCGAATTTGGACACGATTTGACATAAATAACCAAATGAAAGAAGGGAAGTGGACCCTCAGGGCAAAGAGTCAAAAAGGACAGATGAACGGAGTAATTAGAAGAGTCAGACTATCATAAGGGTCCAATGTGGAAGGGAGTGAGGCTTCCCGATTGATTTACTTAATTCTCCCGTTTAATAATTCTGACTGCTTTGTTCGCTTTTTGCGTTTGACCCTTACGATCATTCAACCCCTGTGATTATTTCTCACGCATCACCCCTTTGACCTTTTACTTCGAATTTGGACAAAATTTGACATGAATAATTAAGTAAAAGAAAAGGGAGAAATGAATAGATGCGTGTCTGATTAAAATGTGACTGATTGACGGTTTTCCATGTTTGTTGCTTTATTTTGTACTATTATTTATTATAATAGGGTACGGAGAAGTAAGAATATGTTAAATCACCGGATATGTTGCTATTGTGAGAACACTCTGAAGGAGTGGTGAGATTTAAATAATGCACCTGACGAGAAATGTCTAGTGCATTCGAAACGTTGTGCAATCTCGCTATATTTGTGAGTTTTATTTTCCTTTTGGATGGATATTAGTATTTTATGGAGCAAATGTTTGAGATAATGACCAGAATAAGCCAATTTAGAGGAAGAAACTACGGTCGGAACAATAAATTGATGAAGAGATGAATAGAGTAATAGAGAGATCAGACCATCATAACTGTGTAGTCGGGTGTATGGCCGAATCGGTAAGGTATTCGTCTACAAAGCTAGAGGTCCTGGGTTCGCAACCTGGCACCGGCGAATTATTTCTGGATTATTCGATTTAGTCAAATAATATAAGGACACCATTAAGCATGTTTTAAATAAAACGTTAAAATACCGAGAGAAAATAGAATTGAGCATGTTCGAATCATGTACATACAACCTACAGTTTGACGTGTCTCGAGAACCTAACTGACTACAATTGATTCTCACGTGTCTCGGGAACCTACCTGACTACAGCTGATTCTTACCATCATGTATGATTACATTCTGATAATTCACGTGTCTCGAGAGCCTAACTGACTACAGTCGATTCTCACCATCATGTGTGATTGCATTCTGATCATTCACTAGAAATGCTGTCATAACATTATAACCTATAAGTTACGAAGGAAATAGTCGTGAGTTCTAACGACAAGAAAGAGTCGAGAGCCCGTCACTAATAACCTAGCTGTCGATGCGACGTTAAGCCCCAACATACAAACAATGAACGTGCTTCCTTTTCTGATTCTGATTCTGTGATCTGATTGTGACTCTGAATTCTGATTGTTTTGTTCGCTTTTTCCGCTTGAGCCTTATGATCATTCGACCCTTTCCGTTGTTCACCCTTTTGACCTTCATGATTCATTGACCCTTCTCATTACTCCGTCTTCTGGTCCCGTTCAACCCTCTACCCCAACTTCTCCCAAAAAAATTTTCTGAATTTCGATAAATATTCGCTTCTGCTAGTGTTTCACTTTGCCCCAGTGTTTCATTGACAGAGTGATAGAGCAATAACTCGTGAATCAACTGAATGAATCTTTGATCTCTACACTCTTTGATGTTTCACGTAACACATCGTTGGGCATACTGACAGCATTGAATGAGTGAATGATGTTTATTTGAGAGGAGTTACAATCATGCGGAAGGGTAAAACCACGTAATTTCAGTCCTCGCCAACAGAGAGGTCTTCTTTCAGTCACTATCATGCAGTTCAGTGAATTTGAATTTCGAATCGGGAGTTCTGGTTTGCAATTTCTTGATCTTGCAGTGGGATATTCAAATTTGTCAGTGGAAAAAATTTACTTACAGATCGAAGACGAGGTAGTGGCAGTTTTCTTCTTGTATACTTTCGTGTAATCGCACTGCAACATAAAGAAGAAGAAGTATTTAGCGTGGATTTTTCTTGGGAAGGGGATAATTCTCAATTTGCGAGATGTTGTCGAGAGGAAATTCAGGTTCTTACATATATTCCGCTTGAAATGGTGGAGTTGGTTTTCATTCTAATAATAGAATTTAAGAGTAGTTTCTCGTACTTCTTCGGGTCGGGAATGTCAAGGGACAGAAGTTAGAGAAATTCCACTGTACTGTAATTGCTTTGAACTTCAGCACTCGAGTTTCTGGTTGATTCTCAGATATGTCTCTCTTGATGGAGAATCTAATAATGGAATTTTCTTTACGCCTTCGGGAATTGTAGTTTCTTAAAAACATGAATTATGGAACGGTTTCACCCAAAAAAATATTATCTTATTTTAAGATTTCAAAGGTTATTTTTTCTTTGGTTATTTTTCCTCCAGTGAAATGTTTTTCTACTTTTGTAGTCGGACATCAGCTTTCATTTGAACCCCATTTCACCCTAAGTGTCCGAACATTTGACAATAAATTGAAAATAGATGTTGAAACCAATATTCAGAGAAAGGTAAGAAACCTTGGCTGTCAACGTTGGGGCAATGTTGGCTGCCAAGTTTACGACAATATTGACTAACAACGTTGGAGCAATGTTGGCTACTAACGTGGGGGCAATGTTAGCTGACAACGTTGAGGTAATGGAATTTGGGGGAATGTTAGCCACCAATGTTGAGGTAGTGTTGGGGCAGAAAATTTTTCTTAGTTACTGTAGGACAACCAATTATTGAAAAAATTCTAAAATTTAGAAAATTAATACCTGAATTAAATTTCAATTAATGTCAATAAATAGAGCTCAACAAGACCTACATTAAAAAAAAAAATTCCATCCCATTGATTTATTCGCGAACAATGGAGGAAAAACTTTGTTATATACACACGGACACGATGTAAAAATTGCAGTTTTGGACTTTCTGGAGCATAATGGGTAGATACAATATGAAAAATCTAAAACTTGAATTTGAGCAATTACAAAGCTTCCATTGATAAGCAAAAATGACGTTAGGGGTACCTTTTCTCAAAAGACATGAGTTATAGAACACTTATTTTAGAGTTCAGTGGTTTCCAAGACCAAACTAAATAAAATCGTAGCTCTCCGGGGATTATGGAAAAAAAACTTAAATTAGATAAAAAATATTGAAAGCAAATTAGATAGACCCCACAGTTTAATGAATAGGAAATTGAACTCCAAAGATGATGAAAAAGTTCCATTAATGGAAATGGGTGAAACACAACGAGAACCCCTCCTCTCACTGTCATAGTCCCCCACCCTATGATTTACATCACGCAACAAAATGATTGTATAATACACTGACACGCAGGAAGAAAACCCGAGTTCATCACTCTCATAAATTACGGAAATACATTGTTAAAAATTTTCCACTGAAATTTCCGGTCAAGACCTTGGAAATTTCTAACAAGCAACATGTCCACTTCAATTTCAAACAATTTTGTCATTGAAAATTCATAATTTCATGGGAAAATCCGTGGAAACTAGAAAATAGAAATTAGTTGAATTATTCCGGGAAAATTAAAATTGAAATTGCATGGAATTTGAAAGTGAATATTAATTTTCAATTGAGAATCCATGTAAATTGTGGAATTTCCGTATTCCTACAGCTAAAAAATTGAGCCTTTACTTGGATTTTCAGAGAAACTTAAAATTTCGTTGACTCTTCCTTGAATCGTATTCAAGAGCTTTTTCCGGAAAATTCACTCAAATTTTTTAACAGTATTCGAATTAGAAAGATCTTTCTAAACGATAAATAACCTCTCAATTTCCGCAAAACTTGCACGTGATCTCTCACTCAATCATCAGAAGTGATGACAACCCGCGTGATCGTTCGATAAAATTCGACCGGAGTCAGAGAGACTCCGAAAACTCCTATCGAAAAACGCACAATTAATTGTTAAAATAGGCAGAAAAATGATTTTCATCAGTAGAAGTCGATTTGGATTTTTATAATATAGAGATATAGAGACCCTTATTTTGACCCTTGTGACCCTTAGTTTCTGACGCCCATGACCTTTATTGGGCCTTCAATCCGACCTATGTGATCCTCAATTTGACCCTTGTGACCCTTATTTGGATCCATAATCTGACCCTTGTTACCCTTATTTGGATCCTTAATCTGACTTTGATAACCTTTAATCTTATGACACTTGTGATCCTTAATCTGGCCGTTGAAACCCTTATTTGAACCCTCATTCTGACCCTCATGACCTTTATTCTGACCCTCGTGATCCTTATTGACCCTCTTGCTCCTTCATTTTGGAGTCTTAATTTCGAGTGCCAAATTTTTATCACCAGAAGTTTATTTGTATTTTTATAATACTAGCGAACGCTTCGCGCCCGTCGCTAGATTATGTCATATTATGTTAATTTATTTTATTGTTTTCTTTCCAATTTTTCTTTGCGGTTAGATTAAATTAAATTTATTGGATTCTAATCCCATTGTAGTACACAAATTGTGGGAACAGTTTTTTTCATTTTCAAATGAAGAGATAATTATGTTAAATAATAAGGAGAGTATTGATACTTTTTTTGGGATGATGATCTATATATTTTTCACAATTGCATATTGTTCAAAAATTTCTTTATGTACTACATTTTTCATGTAACTATTTCATCCTTCCTATCATATAACTTTACATCCTTCATTTTTTTTTTAGATGTCGAAAAAATATCAATATGTTCCCCTTCTATGATCTAATTTCAATGGAAGAAAATGAAAAAAAAAACAGAGATACGTGATCAGTAAGAAAATAAAAATTTCGATTTTTCAATGTCTCCGGAAAGTTTTAAAATTGATATATTTTTTCAAATAATGGAAGAATACCCATCAATTCAATTTCTATCCTCACATTTTGATAGAATACATTAAAAAAATAGCAAAGAATAAAAATCGGAGATAAAAAATTTTATCGGATTAATATAATGTAATAATGACCGAGATTTGTTTCCAATCTATTCATTTCCGAGAAATTATGTGAGTGCATCCATTCTATATAATAATCGAATCATCTGTACATGATAATATATGTGTTTATGCAGTTAACACACATCCGAAATGCAATACCACGAAATCAACGCACAGTAAAATTCAATAATGGCACTTTTCGAGAACGACAGTACTCTGAGTTTGAATGGCTTATCGATTCAAAAGACCAAATTATATTTTTTGAAGAATATGATACTCATTCCAAAATAATGATAGAGCCGGAAGAATCAGAATGAGGTAATTGAACAGGACCGATAACAGCCATCAATCAATTAATTCAACAATTCTAAAAATCAATTTTATTCTTT